CACACACACACACACACACACACACACACACACACACACACACACACCTGTACATGTTTTTTCCAAACATTTCTGTCCACAGTTGTTGAGCACGGCGTCATGAATACAGACGGCCAATGTATTTTTTGTTTGTTTGAAGAGCCTGAGATCACACAGCACCTTTCAGTTCTGACTGCTTTTGACTGAGATCAAATGCAGTGATTTAAAAAAAAAAAAAAGATTCCTTTACTGATGTATGTGAGCTCTCTATTTGCATGTGTGCCTGCATGACAGCAGAGCGCATCAGATCCCAGTATGGATGGTTGTAAGCCATCATGTGGGTGCTGGGAATTGAACTCAGGACCTCTGGAAGAAGAGCTCATACTCCTGACTGCTGAGCCATCTCTCAAGACCAAGTGTAGTGATTTTTTAAAAAAGATTTTAAATTAATCTAATTTATGTGTCTGGGTGTTTTCGCCTCCACGTATGTCTGTGCACCACTTGTGGGCCTGGCGCCAACAGAAGCCAGAAGGGGGTTCTGGATCCCCTGGGGCTGAAGTTACAGACAGTTGCGAGCCACGAGGTGGGTGCTGGGAATGGAATCTGGGTCCCCTGCAAGAGGAGGCAATGATCTTAACCCCCAGACACATCTCCAGCCCCAAGTGTAGTGACTTTTAAGCTCAGCGCACATGCTGGCTGCTTCACTCAAGACTAGAGAAGGGAAACTAGAAAAATGGCTCGCTGCTTCCCTCCAAGGCAGTTCTCGTTTTGACACCAGCTGCCCTAGAACGAAATCATTTTGGCTGTCCAGGTTTCCTCCATAAATTGGAGCCGCATCTGGTCCTCACGGAGAGCCAGACATCTCAGGAGCTCAGAACGGAGGGCCCAGGTTTTGAGCCACCAGCTGGTGCTTGCTCCCCTGGGAGGGCATCATGGGAAAAGCTAAGATCCACATTCATTTGCCGGAGGAGATCCAAAGAAGGGGATTCTGTTTCTGAGCCCACAACATGCCTGCAGGCCCGTACCCCTTCTTTAGTTCCAAAAATGGCCTTTCTACCTCACAGCCCTTTCTCCAGCACCTCTGGAATTCCTGGGCCATCCCAGGGAGCACATCTTCCATGGAGGGCAGGCAGGGACTTTCTGGTGTTTTCACACTCCACGATGTCTTCTCCAGCATCCCTAAATCCAAACTGTGCTCAAAACGGCAAGGTCTTTAATCGTTTTAGCATCAAAACTCACTTGGTGGCAAAAGCAGACCAGACCTTGTGCAGTTTGTGTGTGTCTCCTGGTTGAGGGTGTGTGGGCTTCAGGAGCTGAAGTTGATGGAGAAGATTATGAGGAGCTTCTGGTGCAGGGTGGCATTGACATATGTATGGGTATCTTGATTCTTGAGGCAAACTCTTATTTGACTCAGGCTGGTCTTAACCTTCTTATGTAGCCAAGGATGGCCTTGAACTCCTCATCTTTCTGCCTCTACCTCCCAAGTGCTAGAATTACAGGTCCTTGCCTCCATGGCTGCCTCATGTGCTTTCTTGAAAGAGTTGCTTTTGTGTGTGTGTGTGTGTGTGTGTGTGTGTGTGTGTGTGTGTGTATCAGTTCCTGGGTAGGCCATAAAGGAGCATTGGATACCTTCAGAGCTGGAGTTTTAGGAGGTTGTAAGCCACCATGTGGGTGCTGAGAACTGAACTCATTCCCCCGAGGGAGCAGCACATGCTTTTAACTGACTAGACATCTCAGCAGCACACGGGAGGCAGAGGCAGGCGGACCTCTGTGAGTTCGAGGCCAGCCTGGTTTACAGAGCAAGTTCCAGGACAGCCAGACCTACACACACAGAAATCCTGTCTCAAAAAACCAAACCAACCAACCAAACAAACAAACAAAAACGCAACCCCCCCCCAAAATTACCAGTAATATCTCCAGTCCGTGCTACATATACTTTCTAAAACCCTAGGTGCCTTCTGGCTTGCAGGGGTTCTAAGAAATTGTGTCCCTGATGACTTACAAGGCACCGAGTTCCTGCTGACAGGACAGGCCATCTCCGATCCTGGGGGCACGTGGCTGGTTTCCATTTGTATTTTTGGTGGGTGACTCTGCCGCCATCTATTTTGCACTATCTTGTCTGAGGGGCTGGGGAACTCAGAGGTCACTTATACTTGTGTGCAGATGGGTCCCTTTAGATTTTGCCTCTGTTGGGAGAAGGTAGTTTTAAACAAGTGGGTGCTTTGTAGTGGGAGACCAAAGCGTTAGTTGGAGGGGTGTGGAACAAGACCAGCCCCAGACAAACCAGATAGAGCAGGCAGTGGGGCAGACACCCTGGAGAACCGGCAGGCAGCCTTGGGGAGGACCTGAACACAGAGTGAGGCCAGGGCAGGACAAGGAAGCTATCTGTACTGCTCACAACTCTGTTTCACAGAGGACAGCCATCTAGTGGCCAACACTTTATATATAAACTCTCTCCTTTTTCCTGGCAGTTTCCCAAAGCCTTGGGGTACCAGGAGGAGGTCTTGTATCTTTGCCTCCTGGCTGCAGATTCCAATCGGTGATGTGTGGCATAAGTGTGGCTCTCTGGCACGTGCTTACCACCCAGGGAGGGTCCAGGAATGGCTTTCTAAAGCTTTTGGTCACTGCGAGAGTGGGGAAAACCATGGCTTCTGAGGCACAGAGGTTCTCATTTTTATTTTATTCTTATTTATTAATTTTTTTGAGACAGTCTCACTATGTAACCATGGCTGGCCTGGAACTTATCATGTAGACCAGGATGGCCTCGAACTCACAGAGATCCACCTGCCTTTCTTCCCAGTGTTAGGGCTTAAAGACATGCCCCCTTGCATCTGGCCCTTTCCTATTTTTAGAGGCACCCTGGTTATTTGCCAAGGAAGAGATTCCCCAAACACGACCCGACCATATGGGTTAATTTAAAGATGTGAGAGGAGCTGTCTTTCCCAGCAGGGACAGAGCATCCCGGTGGCTCACCTAACAGGATGGGTAAACGGTCAGGAGCGGCCCCTGCTGGGTGTGGCGGACCCTACTCCAGACTATGGCTGCGGGGGTACGAGCAGTGCTCACTGCGCCACCTCGTGGCCATGACAGGAAGCGCCGGTGAGCGCGGCCTCGGGAGCCCCGCGGCGTCCGAGCCTTGGCTCCCGGGCGTCCAGGCAGCAAAGGGTTAAGCTGTCAGCGGCGCGAAGTTAAACAGGTGTCAAAGGCGCCCCATATATCTGCAGATTGAAATCAAATTCTTTGCCGTATAAAAAGATAAATTACCCAGGCGCTGCCGCGCGTCCCACTCATCACGCCAGCGCCAGACGGCAAGCAATTTTTTTTTTTTTTTTAATGTGCTAACGACCTAATCAAGCAATCAAGTCGGAGAAGATTGCAGAGTGACCGGGGCAGCCATCTGCCGGCGAGCCCCGCATTCATTTCCGCGCCCCCGCACCGGGCGGGGGCCGGGGAGGGAGCTGCCGAGGGGAAGAGGGGAAAAAAATCCTAAACAAATTAACACCCAATTTTCCCCGTCTAATTAGTTAAATGAGAAGTGTTTGGGGTCCCCCGGGGAGGGGGAGCAGCTAGCGGTGAGGCGATCGCTGCCTCCCCAGCATTAATTAGTGCGGGTCAATGCCGTGGCTCCCGGGAGAGAAGCCGCTTTAATTTCCCGTGATATTTCAGTGCCTGAGGCCCATCGATTCAAACTGAAATTAACTTATTTTTCAATCAGCCCAGGGCTGCCCCTGGGGGTGACTCTTCTTTTGCCGCCTCCTGAATAGAGCTGGAGCAATTTTTCATCAAAAGCTGATACCTTGGCCGACCGGGGCGGGGGAGGGGCCCGCGGGGAGAGGAGGGGGCGCCCGAGGCGAGTGAGTGGGAAGTGCCCAGGAAACTGGTTTTCTGTTCCTAGCTTCTTACCTTGCTGTCAAGGTGAGACCAGAAGCGCCAGGGGCCTTTCAGGACCACCAGTTTCCCGGAGGGCATTGGCCTTCCTCCCCGAGGACAAGGCTAGGGAGATGGTGGGCTCTGTCAGCAGCAGCTCTCAGGAAGGCTGTTTGGGGGAGACCAGGACATCCTGATCCTCTGAACAGGGCCTGGTGCATGGATTTCCTTTTGGAAAGCTGCTGCTGCTGCTGCTAATGATGATGGTAATGGTGATGATGATGGTGGTGATGGTGATGATGGTGATGATGGCA